TCAGAACCAATCGCCAACATTCCTTTTCTTCAAGTCTTGTAACTTGTGTGTATTTATGATAATCATTGAACACAACCTTCTTTTCACCTCCATCCATTTGGTTAAGTTTGAACAAGTGTTCATTTGATGACTCGTGAGATTTTATTCTTTCACTAAAATGCTTCCAATCAGCACAGCCTTCTTTTACTAGTTTATGTGTTGAATTTAAACCAGGAGAGCATGAAGCCCGGGGTGGCTGTGCTCCAGGATCATAAGCTTTTAAAAAAAGAATGGTCTTAAGTTGTTTCTTAAAAGCCTCCACAGAAGTCAGCTGCTTCATGGATACAGGCAACTGATTGTACAATCTGGGTGCTGTATAGGAAAAGGATAAGGTAGCAAATGAACATTCTCATACTGCTCCAGGCTCCTCAAGGCATGAGAGATCATCTCTTCCATGCAAAATCATTTCAGAACTTGTGGTCAGAGGATTTAGTAGGTTGGACAAATACTCAGAATCAGAGTGTACAGGTGTACCCCGATAACCAATGCATCATGCATATAGGGACCGGGAAAAGTCGTTGGTTAATGAATCAGCGGCTATCAAAGCAATTAATCCCATAAGAACATAACAAATTCATGGGGTTAGGGACCAACCACCTACCAAAAACTCCTATCTACCCTTGATATAGCTTTGTCGTGCACACTGTCAAGCAAGAAAATAAACCAGACATATAAAGCCTTAAATAAGCAATATAAAGCATATATTGACTTATTTACCTGTGTTGAAGATGATAGAGACAGTCTAGGGTGGCAAGTTCAAGTCTCTACCACTCTTTGCTGGTCCATCACCACATTTATTATGCCTTATTATGCTTTATTACACCTTATCACATCACATAAAGATGCCCAGCACAAAAGGAACTATCACTGAGGCATTTAGCATGATTGAGAACACACAAAGTTTGAAATAACAAAAAAACACAAAGTCAGAGACACATAGTAAGTGTAAACAAGAGCAAAGATGGCAGGAGTGAGTCAGGGCAGTGCACAGAGCCCCCTCATGGCAAGAATTCGCACCACCACCGCTCGCAATATTCTAAACGGCTCTGCCGTTCTCCCGATCGTCAGATCTCCTTGGTATCGACGAAATTTGTTGGGTATTTTCCCAATATGTGATCATTGGTTAAGTGAAGTGGCAGTTAATGGGACGTCAGTTTTTGGGGTACATCTGTATGCATACTGCAAAAATACCTTGAAGGCACGAGGTGCAAAGTGGTGGTCTTGGTAGCCAGTGTTAGTCATACATTATCACAAAAGGAGTGGGAGCTAGTTTAATGTACTCAAAGACTCCTTTTCTATACCAACAATTGCTAAGCTAACACAAGCAGCATAAATTTTCAGATTTGGTGTATACAGACTGTATGCAGTCTGTACACTATCATGTCAGTATTCAAGTTTATATTGTTAAGTTCGATTTGGGGATAAAAATTTGTGTTTATGAGAGTTAATTTAATGAACTTTTTTTTTCTCCAGAGAACATGTCACTTGTTAAGTGAGACCTTACTTTATTTGGTTTTGTTTATATTTTGCTCATGTACTGAAGATTCCTTTTCTATTTTTTTTTCATAATGTGAGTTCATGTTTACTCTTAGTTTTTTAAATTCTAAATTGTTTAATTGTAACACATATGAGACAGGCCATATTTTCATTTGTGTAACATATTTTATAACTGGAACTGGTGACTCATGTACATTGTCAAAGATTTATTGGTTTTATCTTAGGGTAATTAGGAACCATTTATTTCTACAAGTGTGCTATTCTTCAGAAATCTAGTAGGACTAGAAATGTAGAAATATTTTTTCTGGTTCACTTGAAGCCCTTATAATGATGGGATAAAACTAATAAACCAATTGCACTAGGCTAAGAGCTGTGAATCTTTGCTACCTTGCTAATGCTCTGGGACTTAAGCAGGCTACAAAACACCTTAGGCTCTATCAGGCTCAATTCCCATTCACTCCGTTTGGTGATCAGACATCTGCAGATTTGTGTGGTTAACTTTTCAGGTTTTCTATTGATGTCCCTCTTGTTGGAGAAAGTACATTGGTTCCACAAGGTGAGTCTGTTTTCTGAACATTATAGGGACCTTTATTGAGGAGGTTCTTAGAGCATGCGCCATTAAAAACAGTACGGCACTCCTCCTATCTGTGGCATAGTCAGTAGAGAGTCATAGCTTCATGAAATTGGGGTGACCTTAGGCTCCACACTACCTAGTGGCAAATTTCAACTCCAAAGGGATGACATTACAATACAGTACAAGGAATTTCCTTTGACCTTGGCTGGAATGGTCTTAGGACAGTTTTTCTTGGTCCTTCACTGTTTGGTGTCATTCTCCAGTAGAGTATTAGAGTTGTCAACAAACCAGAATGTGAGTGTCAGGCCTGGAAATTTTATAATTTTTGGTTTGGAAACCAGTTTAGGAATTCTTCTTTTATTTGAAACAGTAGAGCAGTTCACAGCAACAAGTTGTGATCAGACAAGATTCATCAACATCCTTGTTATTCATCACGGGTGTTAGTGTGGAGTATCTCGGGCTTCTCCAGTTTCATAGTGAAGGGATTGGACTCAACCAGCAGGATTGCATCCCTTTATCCTTTGCATGCATGGCCTTGGGATTGCAATTTCTTTAGCCTTCCAACAGGGCATTTCACTGAAGTCATTTCTTTGGGGAGGGTTATAGACATTAGAGAGGTTATTCATCTTGTGTTATCTGGATGTTTTTTAGTGCTGAGTAGCATCTGCGAGTCTGTGGTGTTCTTTACCAGTTCTGGAATAAAGGATGAGAGTTGCAGTGTTGTCTGTGTCACAACTTTCTCTTCCCATCTGTACTTTCTCTTAAGCATGCATGAGTCACCCAGTCTGCCCAGTTAGTTATGAATGAGGGATTGAACTTGAACTCATATTTCATAACCAGAATGGATTGAGTAACTCAGATTGCTCTTCCTCCATAAGAATACTGAGGACATATGAGGCTCTCAGCATTATAAGGGGATGAAGCGCCACTCCGGGCAAAATGCGTTTTTTGATGGATATCACTATTTTCGCCCTTCCTCTACATGTTGGATGTAACCCTCTAACTAGGATAGAAATATGGTAGAAAGTCCTTCAAAAATAAGGTGTGGTTTCGCCTCAGGCCGGGAGCTACGTATTTCGCTGTGCGCTCAGTCAATGAAGGTGGCTACATCCCGTTCAGAGTGAGAGGAGCACGAGCCAATGACAGCGCGCCTCCCTCGGACCATACCCCCTGAGGCAGCCAATCACAATGGATTTCCCCTTGCTACGTCATAGCTCCTCGGCCAATCCACGTGCCTAGATGCTGCCTCCTCATTAGTTTTGGCGAGTGTTTTAGCATCGGGAGGGGCAGTGTACGTTCTACTGGTATTTTTGATAACTTTTCAGCATAACATTAATGTTATTCGTGTTCCACGGGTGTGAGAGAAGTGCTGTGCAATATCTGCCTGATATTAGAACAAGACTCGAGTGAGACTAGGCCTTCTGGTGTGGGTTCAGGAGCCCATTATTCCTAAGCGTGTGTTTAGTGACGACAGTGCTCATGTGGACACCCCAGGAATGCTTAGTGATAGTGATTTCGGTATACTCATAATATAAAAAGTGACTGCTATGCATCACAAGACCTTTTTGCAAACTGTGTTCCGGAACAGAGTTACATGACATTCACTGACGGCAATAATGACAATGAAAGTGAAGATGAAAATGATGAAAGTGAGTCTAATGGTAACACAACAGTGACACTAATGTATCACAACAAGAACATACAGACTTTGAGGAGGTAGAAGTGGACAGTGACATGACATACATTGACCTTCATAGTGATGACAGTGAGCCTGACCCAACCAATGCTAGTGAAAGTGAGCCCATAACTCCTTCTTATAATGAACCTGAACTGTTGCTGGCATCAATAATCAATGATTTAGTTGATGAAGAATCTATGTGATGATTTTTAGAGAGGGCGGAGAAAGACTTTGATCAGTACGTGATTGATTATGACAAGGCCATTAAAGTTATACGCACTCCTCAGGATTTACGTAACTTCTAGTTTCTACGATTTTCAGGGATAATAAACGAAGGAACTAAACAAAGTAAGATTGTAATACTATTATCTTAATACTGTTTTTACCAAAGATTATGCAAACTTTCTCCGCCTTTGTATTCGTATGTTAATTACATTGGGAGGAGGGGAGAGGTTAATGGTGGGGGGAGGATGAGTGTAGTGGTGTTTCCTTATTATTACACACTATTATACTAAATAATATTATAAATCTTTAGCTAATAATAGGGACAGAAAGATAAATACTGATAAGCAAATGAGTTTTTTATAATTATTATTAATTTTTTTTTGGGGGGTGTAAGGCGATTGCTGCTTTTAATGATCATTAACTTGTTTTACAGTATGATCCCACAATAATAAGAAAATTTTGCAGAAAATTTTGATTATTGTTGGCTTGAAGAGCAAACCATTGTACATGACGGGTAGTTATTCTCATTCAACTCGTGATAAAATAATAACTAATCACCGTACTAACTCCCATAACAAAGTTATCGTTGTTTGAACTTCAAAAAATTTTGAACACGTTTTTATCCGCTTTTTAAATTTGGCGCTTCACCCCCTTCTAATGCGGAGCACCTCATTTTATCCTGTGGTCTGTCTTATAACCTGCTAGGGGTCTCAAAGTGCATGTTCTTTAGCATGGTGGCAGAGACTCTTAGCTTTCAACCTATAACAAGTGGCCCAATGGTGTTATTCACTCTTAATATGGGCTTTGGTTGAAAATTTTTGGAGTGCTGTTCTTTTCCAGCCCAGTTGGGCAAATGGAGAGTTCTAGGAAACCTGAAGACAAACACTTATGTTTGCCAGTGCCGTAAATGAGTCACTTGATCCATGCTCTTTATAAAATGGAATTTCAGACCATTCCCTTATTTATAATGTAATTCATTTGTTACAGACAAGAACTTATTGACCAGTTCACGGAAGACGAAGACATCTTCGTCTTTCTTTTGTCAACGAGAGCAGGTGGACTGGGCATCAATATGACTGCTGCAGACACAGTTATTATTCATGACATTGACTTCAATCCATATAATGACAAACAAGCAGAAGATAGATGTCATAGAGTTGGGCAAACCAAGTGAGTTTTTACAATACATTTTATGTTGATTGTTTTAAGGCAAGATATTATGAATTTAACATGTTACACAAATAGGAAAGATTTATTTGAACATCATATTGGCAGTATTATCATGAATGATATTTAAGGTACGTATTTGAATTAGAATGGTGATGAAACTTTGTAATCTTTACATAGTATACCTAGTAAGAAGTTTGTATTATATATAAGATATACAGTAGATCCACATTGGTGCTTTGTTGGTCTTTGCTCCAGTGTTTCTCATTTCCTGCTAGTTTTTATCAAGATATACTACAGTATATGGACAGTAGTAGCTCCTTAAGTATGATGTAATCATACATCATTGCATATTGACCTGACCTGTACATGTTTCAAATAAATAAAAAAATTACTGCATGTTATAATTTTATCTTTCAGGTATCACTTTCCTCAAAATACTCTTGATCATTCCAGTCAGTCACTCTGTCTGCATCAAAGTGATTTTTACAAATTTTTTTACTTTACATTAAACCTTCATAATTCAGAATTATGGAGCTCTTCACTTGCCAAAATAAACAATGACTAACTCAGGTGAACATGGAAATTTACCAGAAAACAGTGTTGATGATGATGGTAGTACTCAAACATCTTTTGGTAAACTTGGGTTTGGTGAAGATACAGTGTGAAATTTTTGTCAAACTATGTATATATAAGAAAATAAGTACTGTAGTGTTATACTTTATAGTCACCATGAATTAAATGCTCTTGAGCTAAGTAAACCTGACATGGAGGCTTAGTAATCCTAGTGTGTTGAGATCTCCACCCCCATATATGCTATTGCTTTTTTACATCTAACTGCCTTATCATAAAACATCTTCACCAATTTCTAGTTTAAGTAGTCCATACATCCATACTTTCTTGCTAATTTTTATCCATTGAGGACTTCATGCCCACATTTTCTTATATCCCTTCCAGTTTATCTTATCATATACTTGGCAACTTCTTTATAGGCCCGTGAAAATCATCCGTTTGATCAGCAAGGACACCATAGAGGAGGGTATGCTGCGAATTGCCCAGGACAAGCTACAGCTAGAACGAGATATTACAAGTCTTGCAGGTATAAACTTCTATAAAAGTTATATTGTTAGCTTGGTCATATCTCAATTTTCTAGTGGCACTCCTAAGTTTTGTTATTATGAGGCAATATTGATTGCTAGGCAACGTATTCTCTTTTGGTAGTCAGGCTGGGCTTATATTTAGGCCTAAATGATCCTGATTGAAGAACCATTCTTTTGAGAATCAGTTATTGATTAATCTTAATAGAAGATGTGGAAATAAATACGTGTAATGCTATGTGTCATTTATTTTTATCTTTAGTTAAATGTTTTTTATAATTTACTGTGGATTTATTTTAATATTTGAGATAAGTAGTAATTTTGTTGTTACTTTTTACTTTCAGTACTTGAGTACTTTAAGAATGAGATACTTTTTAACTTCCACTTGTGTATATTGACATTTGGATACTTTTACTTCTACTGAGTAACATTTTGCCAATGTAACAATACTTTTACTTAGGTAACAAAGTCCAGTACTTTTTACAACTCTGATTATTACTCAACTATGGTTCGGTAGTCTTGAATGTGTTATCAGATCAGCAACAATGTTTTTAAGATCGCTTGGTGAAATATTTTAATAAAAACTATTTACTGCAATTATATTCACTATAGCATTGGTAAAATCAATAAGCCTTGTCACAAGACGTGAGTTTGTTGTAGCAACATGGTACTGTATAATAAATTATTAGAATTATAATACAGTATGTATTCTTGTTCTCATCTTAAGCCATTTTGTGTGTGTGTGTGTTGTTAAACACACAACATTTATACTGCCTATACACAGAAGCTTATGATATATTTTTTTAATGATTTTTTTTTATACAGATGACCAACAGAAGAAGGGTGATGTAGTAACACTCCTAAAAGCTGCTTTGGGCATAGTGAAGACAGATGGCCAGAGTAATTCAGCAAGCAGTAACTCTGATCCATCATCTTAGTCACATGGAGCATTAGTTCTTATGCCAACTAGTGGGTCATCATAGTCACTTGGAAATTGCCTTACAATTTTGAAGTCACATAAGATGGAGATGATCTTTTGTTGTCTTATATTCACTATACACTCACAATTCTAAGTTTGTTCTTGTTTGTAATAAGAGTCAATATGCAGCCTAATCTATTCTGTGTTGACCATGATTGGCCCTCTTTTTCTAGCAAAGTTTTTGATAAGAGATTTTTTTTTTTAACAAATATGATAAAATGTAAATTATGATACACGAAGGAATGCCTTAACAGCAAGGTTTCTGTATATGATTTGAGTTCAAAAACTATAAAAAAATTATTTTGGGTCTGAAACTACATAACAATTGTAATCAGTATAATCATTATTAAAAAGAATATTATGTTATCTAAGAATCACTTCACTCTCTGCACTGATAGCTTCTTTATCATCCCAGATTTAATTTTCAGGATTATCATACATCAAGATGCAGTTATATGTTGGGGGACAAAGCATACTTCCTCACACCTACAGACATTGTGGAGAACTGGGGCTGTATGGGAATGTGGTGTATCATCACTAATGAGTAATACAGTATATGGTAACACTAACAGTAAATACTTGCATATATGTTTCTTTGGTAAGACTTGTACATTCTTGGTGCAAGATGGGCAGTGGGTATACTCAAGCATCACTATTCAAGGTCCAGCTTTGCATGATGAGTCTACTAAACATTGATAATGAATGGGTAGAGTCATGTTAGAGATGGCTGTGAGATATGTTAAACTGCACCAAACTTTCAAGAAAGAATTTTCATATTTCCTTCCAAAACTTCTTTCTGGTAATTTTTATTATTCACAGTTCATATACTATGTATTTATCACTGTCCTTACAGTTCAGCCTCAGTATTATAATTAATTTATAGATTTTTCTTGAAAACTGCATGTTTATATTTTTTAACACCTATTTTTCAGTACTTTTATTTCCACAAACTAAGAGGGTATTTAATTGAAAACTTCCTTTACACACTAATAATAACACATTCCTCATGTCTTCTCTCCACTTGCTCATATATTCTCATCATCTCTAAATAGACTAATGCAGGTATGTTTTTTTTTTGTCAATAAATGAGTTACACTTTTATTTTTTATGATTTATAATTATTGCAATATTTTTAAACTACAGTATAGTCTGCATTTACACGGTCAATTGAACCCGTGGAGGTCCGCGTAAACGAAATAACAGAACATATGGGATTAATTGAAATAGAGACTGGGCCGACTCCCAAACTCCACTTTTTCCGACACAATACGTACGTTGTAGTAAATATAACATCTTAATTTTATGATGGTATGCACACACAATTAATATTTAAGAGAAATATCAATAATATTAGGTTTTTTAACACTTACGTTAGTAAAAAAGATGGCTGGGCACACGGGGATGGGGGGTTGGTTCCGAGGCAGAGGGCAGATTATTGGCCCTCACCTGTATCACTTGTATCAATTGTATCACAATCCACCACAGAGACTTGCAGGGCCTCTTCTTTGTCAAACCCCTCAAAGTCCATATCCTCACTATCACTGACTTGGGCCGGCTGTGGTGGGTGGCGGGTGAAGAACTCTGTAATGTTTTGATGACTGGGCGACCTTGTGCGAACCCTGCCCGCGCCGCTTCCCGCGTAAATGATGAAATTTACCGCGTAATTAAAACATTTCATTCTGGCAAGGCACCGCGTAAATGACCAAACGCGTAAACAAAAACCGCGTAAATCCAGACTATACTGTATATTGAATATAATTACAGTGGAGTCTTAATAATTTGTGGGTTAGGTACGCCGTGAATTAGCTATAGTTTAATTTATTTATATGGAAATAATTAGTGTGGTTTCAGAGTCCAAGAAATAAATACCCATAAATTGTCCAAAACTTCTTTAATAAACATGAATTGTCATACAGTCACCCACAAGTATTCATACACACCTATGGTTCTTGTGTGGGCCAAATTGTCTAGTAGCACATTCCTGTAGAGACCTGTCTGAATTCCAAAATAACCCATTATTTAAGTGTCATTCTTACGTATATGTTATGAATAGATTTGTTGTGTATATTTGAATAGTGTCAGGTCCTGAAGATACGACAAATCTGTTTTTTGGATAAATATACAAGTTGTTGTTGGCTGGTACTGCAGTTGTCTTACTGCACCCTCCCTCCCTTCCCTCCTCCACCTCTCAATCCATTTACTGCTATAATTGATTGAATATATCCGTGTAGCACTGAATGGTAAATAAAAACAACAGACAGATTTTAGTAATGCTGAAACAGTTTTATGAATAATAGTGAATGGTGATACACAGCTTTATGTGAAAATAATAAACGTTGAGGATATTGAAGAGATAATGAAATCCTTGATGTCTGATATTAAAATTTGGATGTCTAGAACGAAACTTAAGCTGAATGATGACAAAACCGAGATTATCGTCATTCAAGGAAATAGGAGGGGAGACCGTACAAATGATTTTGGCTTTTTAAATTTTTGGGAAGTTTAACTCATTCCTGTTGATTCTGTTTGTAATCTGGGAGCATGCTTTGACTTAAAACTGAATTTGAAAGAGCATATAAATTCAGTATTTAAGATTTACAACTTTTGTATTTGAAATCTCTCTGCTGTTAAACAGATTTTGGGTGAGTGTCTTGTGACACTATTACATTCACTTATTTTGTCCCAGGTTGACTATTGTAAATATGGGTCTGCTCACCTAATTATCTGTTGAAGAAAGTTCAAACAGCATTGAGCAGGGTTGCCAGGCTTATTTTTGCTCTCCCACTACCCCATTCTTGATTGAATTACATTGGTTTCCAATTAAAGCTAGGATAAAGTTCAAACTCTCTCTAGTGACTTTTAAAACATTAATGTTTGGCCAATCTACTAATTCCACTGACTACATGTACTGAAATGATTTTGCGTAGTAGTGAGGAGCCTGGAGCAGTACGGAATGTTCTTTTGCTTCCTTATCCTTTTCCTATACAGCACCCAGATTGTACAATTGGTTGCCTGCATCCATGAAGCAGCTGACTCCTGTGGAGGCTTTTAAGAAGCAACTTAAGACCTTTCTTTTTTAAATCTTATAATCCTGAACATGGTACAGTGGTGGAGAATTACAGAGTATTAAAACTTAAGGGTATATGAATGATGGAAGTCAAACTGTCAATTTTTATGATCTTTTATTGTAGTACAGTACAGCATTTCTTTTTGTTTTCAAGTCTTTGGCTATGCAGTTTTTTGAACGGCATTAAATTCTTTAGAAGAATTGGCACTTTTGAGAAACACAAGTTCAACTAAATTATTATTGTTATTATTATTATTATTATTATTATTATTATTATTATTATTATTATTATAATAGAAATGCAAGTGAACAACTCGGTGTTTCATAACATCTCAAATGCTTTGAATCCCTAAAAAACAGCATTAACAATTATACTGTACTACCATAAGTACATGGAGTTTTATCCAGCACTTTTATTGCTACACAGTCTAACTCCATCACAACCAGTAATACTAGTTCTGCAACCACTTCCACTAAAATTTCGGCTAAATGCTGACACAACTACTTGAATTGACGCAAAACACCTTATCAAAACTTTAATTATACAGTAATATCCCGGTTAGCGCTACCCTATAGAGTGCTGTTTCGATAAAGCACTCTTGCTTGCATCTCGGAGCTCTGCTGAAAAAAAAATAAAAAAACATAAAAGTAGTTAAAAGTCACAAGTCTGAACACTGACAACACGCAAAGAGTAGCTCCTGTTGTTTCTACGTACTCGACCAATCAGCGCCAAGCACTCTGTTTACAGTACAATACAAATTTGTTGCACACTTTCACTTCAAATTTTAATGCCGTTAGTGTGTCTAAAATATCACGGAAAAGTATATGCTTGAATGTAAAAGTACAAATGTTGAGGCAATTGGAAGCTGGTGACCGTCAGGTGGATGTCGGTGCTACTTTCAACTTGACTACATTGACTGTAAGGACTATTATTAAGAATGTAAATAAGAAAAAACTTCAGCCATGATAACCACAAAGTTAACAGCAACAAAGGTGGCTTGTTCAAGGAGCAGCTCGTTAGGAAAAATGGAAGGTAGGCTAAGCATATGGGTGGATGACCAAACACAATGTAACCTGCCATTAAGCCAATTCATCATCATGGAAAAAGCAAGGAGCATCTTCAGGCACCTGCAGGAAGGAGATGACTGAGGCATTTTCAGCTCACAGAGGTTGGTTTGATCGGGTCAAACGGTGCAGTAACTTGCACAGCATCTGCATTCGTGGTGTGGCTGCTAGTTGGGACGAGTAGGCTGCCCAGGAATTTCATCTCTTGAGAAGAGAAGCATACTTCTGGGTTCAAGATTGCAAAAGACCACTTAACACTACTGCTGGGGGCAATGCTTCAGGAAACTTCAAACTGAAATCGATGCTCATCTTCCACTATGAAGGGATTTTCAAAAGAGCATCTATCTGTGATTTGGAAATCAAATAAAAAGGCCTGGGTAACAATCTGCAGTTTACAGCAGTGGTGTGTGTCACAATTTTGCCCAACAGTGAAATAATATTGTGAAAGAAAAAACCTTGAACCCAAAACATTGTTGGTGTTTGATAATGCGCCAGGCCACCCTGAGAATGTAGACACCCTTCGGACCTGCATACCTGTAAAAGGGGTGTCTACCTTCCACCTAATACAACTTCCTTGATCCAGCCAATGGATTAAACAGTCGTATCAATTTTCAAGGCCTACTGCCTCTGTCGCACCTTCAGACAACATATTTCCTAGGCTTTGACACATCACCAGCAATAGCCACTGACATCGTCAAGCTGGCCAACGAAGCAAGATTGGGCGATGTCAAAGTGGATGTTGTGGAGGAGCTACTGCAGTTTCATGGTGAAAGTCTTTCTTAGGACGAACTTCGGGAATTAGTGCAGCAACGCATCCAGAGTAAGACTGACAATTCTGATACAGAAGATCCAGATACACCACCAGAGAGAAACCTCACCACAGCATTCCTCGGTGATACCATCATTAAGATCATGGAAATCATGGACCAGTTTGCTGAGAATGACCCAGACTGGGAGCACAGCAGCAAGGATAAGAGAGGTGTTCTCGACATGATTTCCTGTTACAAAGAATTGCTCCATGAGAAAACTCAAGAAAAGGCAGTCAATCCTAAATGCCTTCAAGAAAAAGTCAAAATGCGAGGAGCCACAGCCTGGCCCCTCATCCCAGGAGTAGCAGCTCATCTCCCACTGCTGATGTGTTGCTGGTTTAATGCAGTTGATTAATAAATGTATTTTATAATTACATATTAAGTGTAGGTCTTATTGTATGACATGAAATTGTGCATGGTTAACTAAAGCACAATGTGTGGTGGTGGGTTAGAGATCAGCTGCTGAGGAGCTGGTTGACTTTTGACTGCGTGGTTGAACTGTGGTGTCACTTAGATGATGGTTTGAGTGTGGAAGGAGCTATTTTTTGTACATAAAATTTGTGTTATTGTATTTGATGCTGTGTATCAATTTTATTATCACAGCAATTTTTTTTTAAAAAGCTATTATAGCGCTTCAGGTGTCAGACACGAATAAATAACTTCAGTTGCTTTCGGGTTGTTGGATTAAATTATAATTTTTACCAAAGGGGACGAAGTTAGGATATCCGGAAGATTCAGATAAAATGAATTGAACTGTAAATTAAATAAAATCTAATCTACGACATTGGATTTACCGTAATAGTGGAGTCGTTCTGCATACAGAAGTTCTGACATGAATGGGGGAGGTGGTTGTGTGTTACTGGATTAGTACTGCAGGAACAAAATTTTAGCAGGGCGTGTTAAATATTAATTCTGGTGCTCTAGATACTCTGTGCCGCAATGGACAGTATAGTACTTTATACCCAAAATATTGGGTTGCTACAGCACCCTCCATTTCCATGTCCATGTACTGGGTGGAGTGAGCCAGCAAACACCAGACCGACCAAGCTTGGAGTGCAGTGTGGCAAGTGTTAACCTTGTGACCAGATATGCTGAGATTTTACAAGATAATTACTGTATATATATACCTGTATATATATATATCACGGCATTTCCCGA